GGGCTATCACTCATGTGGCTGGCAGTGCACGTCTCTGCAGCTCCCTCACTTAAATCTGAGAAGTTTCAACACGTGGCATTCAAACAAAAACTGTATTGACTCCATTACAGATTTTTTTTGTCTTTAAGCTGAGCTGATTAGGTCACAGTACCAAAGGCAGAAAATGTATTGCTGGTGCTCATGTAGTTACATGGGCTGCTTTCTTAAAAAGCTTTTGAGAAACGTTGCTGATCAAAAGTGGTTAAGTCAAAATCTTGGCCAAAAAAATCCAAGTCTTCATTACCATATTCTCAGCTTTACCCCTTCCAATAAAAATAATGTTATTTGGAACTGCAGCCCCCACAGAACTTCAGTTTCACTTTTTAGATGACAATTTTCATCTTCCTGCCTTTTTGCTATTTTCAATATTGATTCAGATTAAATAACCTTGCACAGATGACAAATTTTAGCAGAAATTATTCAGGAGGCCAAGCTTCTTTAGGGCTTATTTTAGAGAAGTTTTAAATTTCATACTGAAAATCTTTGCTTCAGTTTTTCCATTTGTTGGATGTTGAGCTCAATAAGTAAATTCAAATAGAAGTGTATAGGCTGCATTTCAGGCAGTTGTGGTTTTAGTGGAATAACTGAAAAGTTGTAGGCTGGCAGTGGGAGGAAATGCTGATCTGCTGTGGTACTGAGAACAACAAACAGGTTCCTCACTTCTTTCAGCCTGCAGAGAAGAATTCCACCTTCTCACTCAATCCAGTATCCACAGCATCACTGAGTGCCTGGGAAAAAAGAGTGCAAATTGAACAGATACAAAAGTGTAGGAATATCCATGAGTTTTGCCTTCTGGCTTAATGAAGCTACAAGAGTACAGTTTGTCCAAAAATGGTGAAATTGTTCTTCAGTTAGAAGGGATTTCAATTTTCTGTCCTGTCAGTAGATTGGAACTGAACATGAAGAACCCTGATTTAAATTGCATTTCTGCCAGAGATTTCTATCCATTTTTACTGATAATCCAAACTTCAGAACAACCCCCCAACCTACTGATTTTCCTAATTATTTTTCTTACTTATTTTTGTTACTTTCCTTGTCTAGGCAGTTCACTTAGTTCATTCCTCTGTAGTGTTTCATGCACAAAAAAGGTAGAAAGTGTTAAAAAGTTATGGCCTAGACTCAGTGTCAAAGGACAAGACCAGATCTCTGGCCAGAGATACCACAGTTTTACAGCTTGCAAAATGTTTGTGAAACTGCAAATTGCTTCTGCCCTTTCCAATGTCACTTTTTGAGTGTGAAACACGAGGTGGTGTTTTGGGGTGAATTTAAATTTGTCTGGTGTTTGCCTTGCTCTGAAGAGGCTCTGAACAGGAGCAGCACAGACAGTGTAGTATGAAACCAGACTATTAAATCAACTCTAATGGGAGAAAGGCAGGAATTGTAATGTTATGCTTTCTCAAATGAAATGTGTTACTAATGATATTTACAGAGATTTCAATAATAAAGCTATTTATCTTACATAGTTTAACAAAGTAACTTACTTTATTACAAAAATGTAGCCCAAATTGATATTGATATGTATTACACAAACATACATGTGTACATGTATTGCAATATGTAGATATGGGTGCAATGATTACTATTTGTCTTTAAACATAGTTGTCAGGCTGTCTCCTGAAGAAAATCTGCTTGAGTTTGTGCAGAAATATGTTGTAAAGCCATGGGAGTCCATGTGCATGTTTTCATTCCCTGAATATAGAAACATCAACACAGGCAGGGGAAGACTGCTGTGAAAACCTGTTAGTAGGAAGAAACAGAAATGAGAATATGTAAATAAATGTTTCTATTCACCTTTACCAAGCTTCCTGCCAACACAAAAGGTACTTTTCCCCCCAGATTTATTTACATCAAAACGCCTACTTTACCTTCAACTGCTTGGAACAAAATATATTCGTTTAGTTTAAACTGTTGGGTTGAGGGGAGGGAGGGAGGGCTGACCAAACAGGAGGGAAAATGAAAGGATCTCTTTAGGCATTTATGAAAGGTTCAGCTCCACAAATGCATTTAGAATGTTTCCATGGACAGCTTTATGTGCAGCCCCTGCAGGTGCCCAGGAGCACCCCAAGGAGTGCCAGTGACAGTGCCCAGCCACGCCTGTCCCTGCACTCACACCCACCACACCTTCTCCAGAAACGTGTTGACCTGAGCAGTAATTGGCTTTTTTTTCCCTTTCAGTGGCTTGATATCACCACGAAACACAGCAGCAATCAGAGACCCCGAGGTGAGTAATGGAGAAATCCCAGAATCTTCCTTTCCCAAGAGAACTCACAGATCTGACACAAAATTTCGGAGTTATTCCCTCCAGCGTGGAGAGGGTTCCCTCAAATCCCTGCTGTCTCCTTACTCAGCTTTTCTTTCCAGCCTCGAGGGGGGAGCAGCTCCAGGAACCCCAGCCCTGCCCTGGCCTGTCCCTGTCCCGGGGCTGGAGCTGCTGGGATGGGATTAGAGGATTTGCAGGGGGAGCACTGCTGGGAGCGGGACCATGCAGGGAATTACACTTTTAATGAAGGGCAAGCGAGCCACGAAGCCTCACAGGGACCCTCATCTCAAAAACTACATCCATCTCCAAAGTGTGTTTTAACCCTTCAGCCATTGAATCCTCATATAAACTCAAAATTGCTTTTTAATGCAGTTTCCTGAAGCCTCTCCATCAGCCAGAGGCTGCTTGGGACTAATCCAGGAAGTGAGCCAAGTATTTAAAAAAATAATGTGAGGTTGTGGAACATCAAAAACGTATTGACCATAGTGTAATTACACTTGAAATGGATTAGGGGAAGTAGCTAAAACAATCTCCACTCTGAAAAACGTTATTTGGGAGCGTGCAAGAGGGCCTGGGGGAGGCTGCTGGCACTTCTGAGCAGGGATGGTGAATCTGCTTCAGAATATGTGAGGAAAAGGTACTTGAGTGAGCACTAAATGACAAATGTGATAATAACTGTCCCAAATGTATCACTTTCCAAAGCTCCAGCAAGCTGGCATCTACACAAATACCACAAGTCAGTGAAGTAAATGCAGGAAGAAGCAAAATACATGTGACAAGTCTCACTCTGAGAATTACAGTTTCTGGACTTAAGATGTAACAGCAGACAGGGAATAAAGGAAATCTTCAGTTTGACTTGGATACTGGTAATATTAAAAGCCTGAATTTGTTACATTTACAATTAAAATAGCTTTTTAAAAATTTTTATTTAATCTTGGAAAAGTTATCTGAGCGCTACAGTTCCCAAGTGGAGGATCTTGTTTCATGATATAATAAAAGCCAGGGTCTGTGTGAGATAGTAACAAAATCCCTAATTAAGAACCAGGATACTTTAAGCTTGAACATGATGAGCCTCTTGAAGTAAGTATCCAAAGCATCTTTACATCCAAAATGTTAAGCTCTTGATTAAACAAGCAGAACATACTTCAAAAGATAATTAAAGATGAGCTTCAGTGAAAATACTGGATTTGTATTTGGGCCAAACTAAACCTTAGATGCAAACCCTCACTCCCTTTTTTGTTTTAACATGTTCTCATCCAAAAAGGTTGGACTCCAAGCCACTATCACCAACCAGCTCGAGTGCTTCCTTGTTGCAGGTAAGATTGCAAATATGTTGATAAATGAGAGTACCCCTGCTGTCAGACAGATTACACGAGATTTGTCAATTTAGACACAAAGTTAAAAACCTCTTCTTTTTCAGATGTGAGTGCCAATTTGGGGCATCTGCATCTTTGGGCAGCCAGTGGAGTTGTTTTGTTTTTTTTTTCCTCCTGCTACACACAGTGTTCACAATTCCAAAGTAAACCCTGTAGTTTCTCATTATCTCTGAAAACTGAGGGGTAGGCTGTCAGGTAGTGTCCACCAAAAAGCAACATGTAATATGCATTTCTATCTTGAAAAGAGGTCTTGCAGTGAGACATTTCTAGAACAGGAATAAAACCCCCTAAAAACAACTAGAAGTTGGAGGGAGGGGGGAGTGTCGTATTTTTCAGTGGGACAAATGGATGCATTGAACTCAGTGGATGCAGTGATTTATTGCAGCTGGCAATCCTCTGCTGGTTCTCTACAGCACTAATACAGCCTAAATAGGATTGACTCACCCAAACTGTACTTTTTGCCACAAATTCTGAGTGGAGGAACTTAGCTTATACCAGTGAAATGTACCTGAGGGACTTGGAAACAAATACCAAGAGATGGACCCTCCTCTGTGCAAAAATGGGCTCAGAGGGGAGTGAGACAAATTCCTCCAGCTGGAGATGGAGTGAGCTCTTTCTGCCAGCACTGGGGGCAGACTCCTACTGCAAACTGCCCCTTCAGAGGCAGAATTAAAACAAAAAGAAAGTAGGAATTTAGGTGGCAGCAAAGAAAATCTCACATGACCTAAAGTCTCAGTGTTTTTAAAGAGGTTTTCACCAATAAAATGTAGAATCACCTGATAATAAGACAACATTGTGCTTGGCAGAGTTGAGAACTAGAACTGGAAGCAGTCCTGATCACTGTGTTTCTTTTTTTTTAACATATCTTCAGAACTGGAGTGACCAACATGCTCTGTGCAGCATATCCTGGCTGAAATTGTAGATGCCTGAGGACAGACCAAAGAAAAAGACACCCTCCAGCAGTCTGTCACCACAGTGACTTCCAGCAATCTTTGTATTTAATAGCCTCCAATGGATTTTTTTTCTCATGAATTTACCTAATCACTTCCTAAATCCTGTTTCACGCAGCACCATGAGAATGATAATCTAATTTTGGTCTCTAAAAGATGTAATACAAAAACAATAGGAGACCCAGGAAGGAATGAAATAATTTTGCCAATAGATATTACAAAAGAAGGCAACGATTCCAGTCCAGTGATGAAGAAAATGACTAAAACCACTCATTACAAAACAACCCAGCACTTCCTGCTATGAAAAATAATCTATTAAGACTACTTTGCAGTTTTGAAAAAAATAAACCCCACCCCATGTGAAATTGCCTTTCCAAGCCTGTGACATGGATGATTGTTTCTGTGGTGCTGCAATGTGACATTTGAAGTGTGTCTCTTCAACTGGTCCTACTGCCTGGGGTTTCTGAAGCTGCTCCTCAGCCCAGTGATCCTTGGATCAGTCAGGAGTGAGATGAATCAAGACAAATGTTCCAGGAGTGTCACTAGTCTTTGTTAAGAACGGGAGAATTTGCTCAAACACAGCCCTTCTGTGAATTTATGCTACTTGCTCTCTATTATCAATTACAGAACTCCACATATTTTGCAATCTTTGTACACTATCACTGTCACAATCTCCTGCAAAATGTTGAAAATTAATTTTGAAGTTCTACACCTACAGGTTTCTTGCCATCATGTCCTAAATTGATTTGCAAACTAAAAGAGTATTTTCCTTATTTAAGTATATGAAATATATTTATGTTAAATATATTTCACATAAATTCCTTTTAATAAACTATTTCCTAGTACTTTTTGAAAAAATCAATATAAATTTAGGCTTTTTTTTTTTTCACGTGTCTTGTGTTTTATTCAATAATTTCCTGCTATTCAAAGACTAAATAGTTGAGTACATTCTACACCATTTTACAAAGCTCTGCATAACCAGGGAGAAACTGGTGAGACTAAATACACCTTTTTATTTATCTAGACTTTCAGAAAATGCAAATAAGAGCTTCCAAACTGAAGCCAAAGTAAAATATGCTCTTAAAGGCCCTTTTTAGATGGTATTAAGATGAATCTTTTTCTTCTCCTCTACCTGACAAATTCAAATATTTTTCTCTCTTATTTCAATCTGTGTTGTATAATATTTTTGCACAATCATTTTGTATTTATGTTAATGCATCTGCTGCTATTTCCCTCTATTCTCCCATTCTCATGGAAAATGCTAAACCAGGCCTGATTCTTGTTCCTAACGTGCCTTTTGAGATAACACAGCTCCTGTTGAAAATGTTCCTGGGAAAGGAGAGAAGCGATTACTGAGCTGAACATTTCAGGGGCTCTTAAGCTGCCATCAGGGGCACAAAATGTGCCAAATTCCCTATTCTGCTTGTCTAACAGAAGAAAATACTCAATTGAGTCTTCTGCAACACGACTTTTTTTATTCTCCTGCTGTTCCTCCTGACCCAAAAGCAAGGCTGCTATTGCCTTTCTGAATATATTACTCCTTATCTGAAAAGCCATTTAGTTGCAAATGCCCAACCTTCCCATTCTTAGTGTGCCTGTATCAGCCATGGCAAAGGCCCGGAACAGAGCAGTTGCAGTGCTGGACAATGACCTCTGTGCTGTTCTCTAGGAGTGCTCTGTTAAACACCCAGCCATTTCAACTCCCAGTCACAAGACCTATAAAAAATTCATACTCTGAATCTCTGGTTTCAAACCACAGCACTGCATCATTACGAGCTTTTCAATCCTCCCACCCCACACACTTCATGAAGGGGGATGGGGAAGAGAGCTTTTATCTTCCTGGCAATAAAATTGCACATTTCTTCTCTTGTTTGCATTTTTAAGCAGTTCTGGGGGCTGGAAAAAACCCTGCAACCAACAAGGTGAGCATAAATGTCCTTTTATTTTATTAAAATATAATATTCTTTAAGAACCTTTTAGCTAGGTATTTAACTAAACATAAAAACTGGTGTTGAAAACAAGCTTTATTATTTAAGTAACTTTTGTTTCCACTGTGTCTGTCTTTCAGAAATCATAAAACTTCTATTTCAAGAGGGAAAGAAAAGACTACCCCTGACAAAGGGAATGACCTGGAAAAACAGTGTGCAGCTGCCTTAGTACATTCTCCACCAGTATGTTCACCTTTGATCTGGCCCTTAAAACGAATTTGTTGGACTAGAATAACAGGGTTGGTGGGTTTTTTTCCGAGGTACAGTTATATTTTCCAGTAAAAATGTGGTTATTTCATATGACAATTCTGTAAGCCAAATTTGAATATGATGGGCCTTCTGGGTTAATCTTAAAATGTTCAAAAAGACACTTTCTGAAGAGTCTCCACCCAGACTGATGTGTCACCTCCCCGGAAAGTGTTATGAGCAGCCTGAGCAGGGAGGTCCCTCCTCTTCTCTCCTCTCTGATCTCATCGGAGCAGCAGTTTTGTCCTACAAAGAAACGTCTGTCCTTGGCTGTCCTGCCCACAGGCCAGCAGTGATTCACACACAGCACAGGCTGAAACACCAGGATGTTGCGTGCAAAGTTCTCAGCCTTCTTTTCTTCATCTTCCTTTTCTCCCTAGGTTTTTACTTCATGTGTTCAATGACAGCTTTTAAGCATCAGGATGTAGCTGAAGAGGACGGAAACAGATTTATATCTTAGCACCAACGACAGCAGAGCTTGATAAAATGTCATCCATGCAGTTTTTTCAAAATGTGAAAAACGTGTTGAAAGCACCTCTCATCAGTAACAAAGAGGTTACAGGAACGCCCGTAAGGACAGACTTTATCCCTTCACCCTCCCCAGGGTCACTGTACTGAGACCATCACCACCCACCCGCCC